GCTAGAGAAAGACAGTGTTCCTTATAGCACAGGAAATTTGGAGAGATGGAAGTTGCAAGATGCCGCCAGAGGGACATCTGGGATTCTTACAGATTCTAGGGTTAGTTAATCTCAGCTCTAGAATTTGTCAAAACTAAGAATTTTTTAGAGGTTTAACATAGATGACAGACACTGGACAACACCAAGCAATCAACATCAGGCAATCTACAAGTATAACAAAGCTAAAAAGCATAGCAAAACTAGAAATATAACTGAACTAAGAACAGAATACACATATAAGAGCTTATGGTTAAGCCACAGATGTAGGGTACAGTGACCTCTTTCACCCTTTCCCTGTCCTTACAGGCCATTCCCCCAGGGTAGTTTTCCCTGGATTACTTTTGTCACACTTCAGCTGCACCAAGATGAATCAGGTTCTCGCTCGCAGTTGGTGTCAGGATGTCCCTGCTGATGGGTGGGTTGTCGGGGTCCTCAAGCCAGCTGACAGTGAGTCCGAGTCCACACCAGAGGCATGCAGCTTCCTTGCTTTTATCCTTCCTGGGCTTGGTTCATTATCCAATCAAATGGTGTCAGACCGGGTACAAGCAGGCCCAGTGGCCTCAGATAGTAGAAGTGTGGTCAACAGTATGGTCAACAGTGGTCAACTCATATCACTATTCACAGTCAACAAATAACCCAGTGCCAAGCTGCACAGTATCTGGATGCTTATGGTGTGGGTCTGTGGTGTCACTTCTGTTTTACTGATGAGGTTCACCCAACACTCGTGGGGAGCCAACACTTCGGGAGACTATAGCAACCCCACTGTGGTGACTCTGGCCATAGTGCACCCAGGGTTCTTACACGCTTGAGGAGCACCCCAGAGCAAACTCCTCTTCCACAGACTGGGCCATCCTGAGTCCTTGTCTGTGTGGTGTATATCAGAAACTGAATGCATCTTTTGCACCACTAAATTTTGTCATGCCTCACACTTGACTAAGTTTTTTGAGCATTTTATCAGATTTATAAATTATTTCCCTCAATACTTACTCAGATTTTTTTAACCTAAAGTCACCTTGAATTATTTAAAATAATAGAGCGTTTTTACCTTGCTCAAGTGCTACAGTTGCTGGCAACAAAGAAATGTTAATGCTGTCTATCCGAGGAGAAATAAAATAGTGTCTGAAAGGAGACAAGAGATTAAAAAGTGTGTGTCTAGGTTCAAAAAGCCGGTCAATGATTACACACACAGACATGTATGAACATGTATATGTATACATGTAAAATAAAAAACAGATAGAAATTTACTTTCACAGTCTTTATAGGAGGCTTGTAAGATACACATGGCAAGATTTTCCTCATTTCAATTGGTTTTAGTTCGATCAAAAAAAAAAAAAACCCTTATGGATTAGTTGCTTATTCTCAGACATAACAGGGGAAGTCTGCATTTCTGTTGCTAATGCAGCACCTCCTATGGAGGTAAAAATCTTCAATTTTAAGTGCTAGCTATTAAAATATTTTGAATAGTCCCAAGATCTCAGGTGATCATATTAATGGACATCTTTTCATCACTAGTGTGCTTAATACAACTGGCTGCAGAATGTACAAAAGAGAGGGCAAATGAATCACTGTGTTGTCGGGAAAGCCGGAGGAAAATACTGGAGGGAAGAAACGTCTCCCAGACCATAGTTAAATAGTTCTTTGCGTGATTGCATTTGCTTGCTTCTCAAAAACGAGTTCATGCTGAACATGACTGATTTAAGTAAAAATATTTGACTATTTCTACCACTAACATCATGTATAAACACTTGTTCCTTCAGGCTAAGCTATAAAAAAAAAAAAAAAAAAAATTAATCACAACTGGGAACTGAAACCTTTAGGAACTATTGGCACAAGTGAAGCTGGCTGATCTTTTCAACTTGTGCTATAGGGGGAATTGCCTTCTTCCTCACCATGATCTACTAGGCCCAAAACACAAGGACAAAGAAGCACTTGTCCATAAACACAATTTTGATAAGCCTGATTAGAAATGCAGATAGCAATAAAAGTAATGCTCGTTAGCTGTTTCCCTATCCCAGTGTCCTCATACCTTTCCCTGATACACATGGCACTTGTCACTAATAGACAAATTCTGGCTGTCACCCCACTAAGTGAAAGTTGCTGATAGGCCTGTTCCAAAGCCAAAAGCTTTTCTTTCAGCTCATTACAAAATTCAATAAACTTTAGTATTTCTTTGCTTTGTTTCCGACAGTTTTTACACTGAACACAAGTCTAAATGTAGTCTATAATCCCCTCACCAGAGAAGTCTTCCTTTTAAAGGATAACTTTTTACAATTTAATTAAAACATATTCTGAGAGTTAAAAATATACTGACAGCATATTCCGTAATTGTTATGGAAGTTAAATGCTGCTGGAAATTTCAAGAGATCTTGACCCAATGACAGGTATAATTAATAAAGGCAAAATTGCATTGGGCAGGATAGTCACCTTCAGCACAATTAAAAGGAAATATTCTGGCATAAAAAAAGGCCATATGTATCCCTGTTCTCACTGCAAGGCTGACAGATTAATGAAAGGATCTCTAAGCAGTTGTAAGAAAACAGGTATTTAAGAATTCTGTTCCTCAGTTAACTCATTATTCATTTAGTGAATGATCATACCATATGTGTAAGAATACATTTTTTTTTAATTCTTCACAGATTAAAATAAATATATATATCTGAATGTTTCATAAGAGCAGGCTTTACATTCTGTGTGAAGATCTTTTATTTAAAGATCTCTGCCTATATATAAATATATCTGAGCTGTGAGTAAAAATTAAAATGCTTTGGAACTAAGAGGGCAAGGGGATGTTTTTCTTTCATATAAATTCTCCATTAGTAAACATCACGTTGTTCTCTTCTGAAACCCTGCAGTAAAAAACACTGTATGTTAATAAAAAAAACAAGGTATGTTAATAATATTAACTTGATATTCACTAGAATAAGCTAACAGAAGACAGTCTTTGGTTTGAAAGAGTTTGATAAGTCTTTATGCACATTCCTTGTATAGGAGCATAGCACTCCTTCTACTCTTCTGATTGTATATACGATCAAAATATGCCATATGCCCATGCCCAATTGCTATGCTAACACAAAGCGTCACTAAAAGGACTTATATTTATGCAATGAGACAAAACATTAAAAAAAAAAACATTTTTCTTCATTATAGCAATTGTTTGCAGAGGATACATTTCTATTGTGTGAGCTCCAAGTCCAGGGAAGAAAACTGGTTCCTCAGGCAAATGAGACAGGGACAGTGCAGGAACTGACTCACACACAGCTCTCCCTCTCCCTGCAGTGCAAAAACAACTGGCTTAAAATACTTGGCTCTTTGAATTCAAGCATGCCTATTCACAGTATTTCAGAAGCAGGGACAGTTAATTCTCTATGAAGGTAATCACTAGATTTTTTTTTTTTGAGAAGAAACCTTTTTTTTTGTAGAAAAAACAAAAAACACAGCACAGGCCACATAAAAATGTTTGCTTGCACTTTGCATGTATAGAAAAGCTCATGGTAGAAAAAAATCAGGACTGTAAATTCTGAAAGCAGTAAAACAATAATAAATCAGAGCTTTCTTTCAGAAGATGAGGCATCTTTTGAGGGTTTAATTCTGACCTCAGATTTGGGGAGGTGGGGGAAGGACCCTGTGCATGTGTTTGTGTACACTCATATGTCTGGCTTTTGCTTTTTTACCTTAATGCAAGAAGTCCCTGCCGTGTGTTTGCATTTGTCAAGCTATTTAACTTAAATTAGGCTAACTTTTAGAGTCAGTGATCTTCCCATCTACTGAGGCTGTACAGAAAAGAGACTTGTCTATCTTGAAGCATGTAATCTGAAACTGCAAAGCTTACAGTTTTCACTGTACTCCAGGTAAGGTTATTTGCTTCCATACAAATATCTGACAAGGAGCAACCAAAGCTACCACTGCTCAGATCCCCATGCATGAGGAATAAATTATTATTCTATAAACCCCATACTGAAGATGAGGAGAGTGATTTTTAGTTAATTATGGAGGTGAGAAAAACAGATGGATGACCAGGAAACTAGGACAGTGAAAATGTTCTCTAAAATACACATCACTCCAATACTTTACCAGGGTGCCTGGCCTGCAGCTGCTGCTTTTGAGAGAAGAGGAATGTGTAACTGATTCTAACAGATTTGTCCTCCAAGGAGTGTTCGCTGTTTAGACCGGGCTCTCATTTTTTACTGTTGGGACTTGGCACCATCATGTGGCCACTTTGAGTTTGCTCAATTAAAGCAAAAACTTACTTAGAAAACCCTGTCATAAATCAAGTAGATTAAATTAATTTGTAAGTTGTAATTAACAAGGAATTAACTGACTTCTAAACACAGTGTCTTCCAATTGTCCTTATTTTATGAGTCCACGCTCTATTTAATCCAGGCTTTCTTTATCATCTTTAAATAAAAAATTGTTTTAGGCTGGAACAATGAAAGACATATTCTATATTTGGACTGGTATCCAAACCTTACCAATACAGTATAGAAATTGGAATAATAAAGACAACTATCATCTTCTTCACTACAAGAATAGTGGAAATGATCTTCAGTAAATAACATAGGCTGGTATTTTGTTTTTACACCAGAAAACCTTAGTGTTGCAGAAATCGAGAGGACTCAGATTTTCAGTAAAAGGTTCCTGCATGTTTATGCTGTTTGAGTGTAAGGTATTTACGTATTTCTTTCGCAAAGTTTCAGGCTCAAAATCAGAGGTGATAGACCATGAATGTAAATTTGTACTTTGACATGTCTACATATTGTTGTAGGAAGATATAATAAAACTTTTTCTCAAGCATTTAGTGTGCCAAAGGCCCAAAGAACACTCAGGTTGCTTGTAGAGAGGTACAAGGTTATGCTGACCAGATAAATGTCTTTTGTCACTTACTTCAGAGTGGAATAATGAGAAACAACAGTGACATTTATAGGAATGTATTTTCAGTGTTTTTCCTTAAATATAAACATTTAAAATCCTTTCAATATTGAAGTACGGCTCATTGTAGTTCAGCACAGTATTGCTAAATAAGGTTCTGCCATTTTAATCATCAAAAATAAATCTCAGCTGAAATACTGTACCAATAGTCTTTCAAATATATGCAAGTTATATACAAATACAAAATTACACTACAAAACTTTTAATTACAGTCAGAATCATCTAAATATTTTGCAATAATCTGTACACTCAGACAAGTGCTTTGTTTCTAAAAGGACTGTAAGAGCAGCAGATGTAGCTTTTCAGATTCCCCAGGCTGAGGTAATGCCCACTTCTTCTTTACATATTGAATGTCTATCAGTCCAGACTCTTTGGCCAGTGCAATTCCCAGCAGACCGGTTGTTTTTTCTGGTTCTCCCAGTATAGCCATAGTCACAACACTGAAATCAAAAGAGGATTGTTTGTTTAATCAAAACCAAATGAATAGAAATTGTTTTTTGATGTTTTTCTTTCCCTTCAAACATTTATTTAACAGATCACTTATAACTAAACTGATTCCTTTCTTCTGTTTATTGTCATATTGTAAAATTCATCCCTAATTTAAGTCCTAGTTAGCTTTTTAGGAGATCACCAGTTGCAACTCCTTAATGCAAGTGCATTTGGACAGAAAATTCTTCCACTGTTTCACAGCTTCCATAATCATCATTACTTGCATCATTACTTCACAATTATTTCAAGGTAAACTGGTATTGTGAGACTAGGTGAACACAAACTAGTCAAAAACATGCTTGTTTTATTTGTGACAATAAACATAATACATTGCTTTACATTAGTAAATATAGTAGATATAACCATTGAAAAATAATCTCCAAATCTTCATATCTTGACTGCCTTAAAGATTGATCCTGGCTCAACAAAGCTACTTTTGAACTAAGAGTCCACTGACTTTACAGGGAACAAAGCTTTTTTCTGTATATACAGCTGCTGTTTATCAGTAGAGAAAAGCTTTTTTCCCACTAAAACCAGTGGACTGTTCAGAAACTTGTCCCAATATAACACTGTATCTGATTTTAATAACAATATATTTGACTATAGCGTAAAATAATACATAAAAAGTGTAAAAAAAATCAATTTGCTATAAAGACTCTTTCTACAACTGAAGTAGTTTAAAACAAACCAAAAAACAAACCAGTAAAACCACATATACTTAGAAAACCAATTCTAGTGAAATTTTGAAATTAAGCAAGAATTCAAAAACTTTACTCAAAAGACAGATAAGATCAACATTTTATTGAAGAAAAAATAAAAATAAAAGTGTACTTACTTATCTGATGGAATAGCCTGCTTCGCCACAGGCAACAAATCGTTTTCCAGAAGGTCCCAAATATAAATATTAGATGATGCATCCAGAACAAAGAACACAGCAGGTCTTGTTAAAGCCCATTGAAGAGCAATAACTGGCTGCCCATTTGTGCTGTCATTCCACTGCAGGAGGGGATACTCTGATGTCATTTGGTGCAATCTGATACTTCCATCAGAACAGCCAACCTGGAGATACCACAATCAAAAAATAAAATACTGCCTGGGAAAGAAACAAACTATGCAGGACAAAACAGACAAGCCTGTTCTTGAAAATATCAGGCATACAAATAAAACCATTTGTATGATTCAAGTGAGAAATGTCTATATTTCAGTCTAAGTAGTTGTGATTTAAATGTGATTGGTCAAACCTGAACACACCTGAGAACACACAGGATGGATCTGCTGCTGGCCAGGCAGACCCTGACAGGCTGTTCCAGCAAATTTCAGTAATTTCAGTTAAAACAAAGAACAAATTATAAAGGTACTGGCTAAAATAAGGTGGCCATGCATTTCTGTGAGCCAAATGCTCCTTCTTTCAAAGCAAAGTTCAAATATCAGGACACAATATTTGTTTGTCAATCTGCCTGACAGATGTGAATTAGTAAAATAAACCAGTTATCACATCCAGTTAAGTATTTTGAATTGCAAATCTTTTCTTAGTAAGTAATTAAAAAAGTAACAATGTCATTAATTTAAAATGCTTTCATACCAGAAAGAGTGGCTGTCCAAACGGGGAGAAATCCATTGCGCTGACGCTTACTGATCTTAGTCCACTCTGCTGGGGTCTGAAGAGCTTTGGAGGAACTTTTAAATTGTGTCTTGTACCATGGCCTACCAGGCCCTATGAATAATATAAAGAAAATGACAAAAGAAACCATTATGCATTTTCACTATTACAATAAAAAGTCAAACAATCCACACCGCTGCTGCCTTGAAAAATTCCTTCACAGCAAGCAAATGTGACTAAATTTTAATAATAGCCTCAAGCTACAAATTTTATATACACTGCGCTGATAAAAATTCAAGTAAATGTGACAGCCTTCAACACCAGACAATAACAGTGAAATTAATTTAAAATATTACTCACAATGTTTGTTCCAACAATGAAATGATTAGGATTAGAAGAAAGAAACTTAATTGACAGTGTTTGTGGCATTCTCTGGCACATATCCTTTGGGAAAAGGCTGGGAAAAACAGGAAAATACACAGGTAGAAGATGATCTAAATATATAGGAACTTGCCTCTCAAAGTTGTACATTACAGAAGCTCTTGTTCAAAAATATCTATGAACATCTCCAGCAAAAGCATGCATTAAAACACTAAAAATTAAGTAATAGATTGTTTTATCTCCCATGACAGGAGTTTAACCACATACAGAAAAAATAGCTTTGAGAGATATACATGCAAAATCTAAAAGCCATGACTTACCTCTTACTCAATTCTGTAGTAGAACTATGTACTAACTTCACTTTACCTCCAGGAATTAAACCTAGGATTACATAAGATAATTTTTAAACAAAAAAGACTTAACTACAGCTGATTTAAACACTTTGTACTAATCAAAAACTCAAAGCTAATCATGAACTACCCACACACAGATAGTTTATAAGCTATTACAAACCTAAGCTAAGCAAAAAGGAAACTTTATGTTTCTTACAGATAATAGTTTATAATATGTAAAAATCTTGCATAGTTCAGAGTAATTTACTTCAGAATGCAAATCTAAAGACTTGTGATCATCTGACAGACATCAAAGATAAAAGGGAAACATTTTCTGTTCAAAAGCAAAGCTTACAAAAAATAAACTCAACTATGTATTTTTATATTATATATATAAAATGGGTGTAAATATATTTATATACTAACATTTTAAAATAAATGTAGATATGTAAATAACAGCATAAATAATTCACATTCTTGAAACCTGAGATGAAAAGATGAATGCTGGCAACAGTACAATATTGTCCAACATACTATTTTGAAATGTACCTCTGCATAGAAATAAATATGATTGTATTAACTTCATATAGCCACCCAATGCATAAGATGTTATAAATGACAAAACTGATCAAAACTTTTACCATTCAATACAAAACATCACTTCAGTGTTTGTATGTGTATTTTAAAACATATCAGCATTTTCATCAATGCCTTGTCCTTTTAATAAAATATGTCAATCCAAATTTGTTCAAAGAACAAGAAATATATTGTTTTTAATTGAGATAACTCAAAAGGAATGGACTTTGCTTAGGTTTTTATGGAATCTTTCATCTCACACCAAATTAAATAACTTCGCCAAAAGAGAACTGACATGATAACTATCAAAATGGAGATGCAGACAACAACAAAAGTATTAAAAAATCTTTGCTTAAAGTCAAAGAAAAAACTGAAGGACTCAAGGACGTAAGAATCTTATAATCCTTGGAAAGTTATCAGAGGGACGCAGAAAGCTGCTTTACCACTAAGAAATGTAGCTGTCTGTGGTGGAAACTGCCAATACAAAATTAGCAGGTAAAATTCAGAAACTAGCAAAGACTACACACATGATGCCTGATCTATGACCCAAAATATTTGTCGTATTCAGAATTAATTTTTATGTGAATAAGTATGCCTATATCTGAACTGCTCGTCATTGCTGATCCTTCTTTCCCAGTAACTTCATGATCACAAAACTCATGACCTTTCTTCTATCTAATGCACAATACTTACCTAAATCGGTCTGTGAACCAGCTAAATCAACTTTTTGTAATTCAACAACTACCTGAAAAGTCAATATTCAACATTAATACACAATAAACATATACCAGCTTGTATTTTTTTTAACTAGTTGTAAGAAAATATGAAATAACTCTAAAGAAATGTTTAGATAGACAAGCCTAACATTCCAATGATTACAGGTAGATTCTCCATCCTTTTCAACCACAGGCCATGTTAACACAGCTTGAAATATCTTCTGGATATCCCCTGCTGTTCTGTAAGGCAGAAAATGGGAAATTGCCTCCTATACTTAATCAGTAGCAGGCACCTGTATAAGAAAAACAGAAATCCTGTGCTTCTCACTACCCTTTCAAGAAGTGGGAGGCGCAGATCATTGGGCCAGAATCAGTTGCTACTGAAGTTACTTAGAGCTTTCAGGAACCATCTGAACCAAGAACTTCAAAAAAAACCAACAGGATTGCTATATTATATGGGACAAAGCTATATGAGAGAGAGACTGAAAACGTCTTGTACAAAGCAGACATTTCAGTGACACTGAAAGATCAACAGCCTTGGAACTTCCTCGCCTAGCATATTTCAGAAAGGGTAATTTTATCCACCGATTTCTACATATTGCCTCTTGAACATTTATTTGATATTAATTATGAATGTGACTTCCCACATATATTCAGTACAGACTAATACCACTGTGATTCGAATAAAATGAAGTAGGCATTAGAACAGGATCTAAGTTTGTTATCCAATTACTAGACACATGTGAACATACCCCTGCGAGGCAGAACTGCAGATCACAGCATCACCCATATCTATATGAATTCATGCACCTGTTTAATAGTTTAACATCCTAACATTAGGGAAACGGGTCAGGGATTTTGACAAGAATTCCAATAGTGTTGCTATACTTTTCAGGAAGGCAATTCTCATTAAAAAAAAAAAAGTGTGTTGCTATATTTGCAAAAGTGTATTATTGTTACAGCATGTGATGCTCTCTCCTTTTTCATATATAAGTGTATATTAGATATTTATTACTCACCCACATATTGAGGATTCCATTTTCATCCATTGAAGCTATCTGGCATGGACAGTCTGACATTTCTACAGGAAGAAGCTAGCAATTTATATTTATACACTACCTTCATCTTAAAAGAAACTCTTTTAAATCCTTAAACCATTTTAAACCTTTTCCAGGCTAATACATGCTGTGAAAGTTTTGTGTTCCCCTCAGTGGCAAAAAAAGGCAAAAGGACTAACTCTGCCCATGAAGAAAAAGGCATGAAACTAATATATTCTGCTTGCCTTGCCAAAGCAGCCAATGATCTCTTTATGCATCTTTAAAATATTTGGATTCTGTATGCAATTGGGAACAGAATGTATAGTGCAATTAGATTAAAGCTTGTAAAATCTGCATTGTGCAGCACATTTCATTGACTGGCCTTTTATGGATTTTAAGGTGAAAATCTGCAAGGGGATTATTACAGCATGCTGCCTGAGAATTTTGAGGATTGAATTCACTTTGCAAAAGTTGGTCACAAGAAAATATAATAACTAATGCAGGAACAACTGCAAAGTACAGTCACATACTATTTGTGTTATCAGATATAAACAATTTGCTTCACTGAGAGCTTTTAGGGGGATATTACAGAAGCACTCACCAACTTAAAATAAGTTATAACCCCAAAACTCCTTTTAACCACAGAATAAAATAATATGGTGTTAAAATATATATATATATATATATATATATAAAAAACAAGCATGTAGACATATCTGTGGCAAAATCATACTGAATGAACATGACAAAAATGAAACCAGAAAAATCAACATGGAGGTTGCATTTAATCATTTATATTCTCTACAGAGACTTTAAAAAAGCAGAATGTAATTATGAGTTGGAATATGGCTAGGATATATTCTTTACTAGATTACTAAAGAATGAATCAGACTTACTGATAATTTAAAGTGCAGTTTACCTACCCTCCTGATGAGAAAGGCTTGCGAGCCTGTAATTCTGCTCAGCGTAGAGAGAGGTTAAGACAGGTTCCACGGCCAGTATAGGAGAGGTGTGATTTATCGAGTTTAGAACACCATCTGCAATTAACAATAATTAAAAGGTAAATGCTGTATTATTTTTGACAACAACAACAAAACCCTAATAATTTTTATAGGAACATAATGATTACACAAAAAATGAATGACAAATAATGAATTTCATAAACTATTTTGTAAAAGTCTCGAATATAATAGTGCGAAATATTTTCTAAATGATCGAAGAATCTATTAGGTGAATCAATGTTTCACCAACTGTTTTTATTTTTCATTTTGCTGCTGCATCACTTATCTGACAAAATGAGATATTTCATTAAAATCTTCTATTTTAGGATTTCTTTAAAGAGAATTATGCTAATTTTAAGCTCCAGAAGCAACAATAAATAATGGTTTGCTCAACAGGGAAGATAAAATTGAAAGACTGACTGTTTCAAGGCATGATTTAGTAGAAAGTAATTACACTTCAACAAAGAGCTCACCATGAGAAAAACTTTATTTACCCTTTCATAAGCTTTTAGAATATGTATTTACAGCAATTTCTATGTTAGATATTCTTGTTTTTTTAGCCTTGTTCTGTACATTGAACTTAGGCAACTTAAGACTAAAAGTCTTAGATCTACTAAAAAAACCCAAATTTATCAACAACCAACTAAATATATTTCATGTCTACTGCAATACATACCTAATATATATTTTATGCCTGCTGCAATTAGATACGCTTATGAGATACAAGTACATACATTTAAATTTACCCTTAGATTGGTGATTTGGTCATCTAGACAATTTTGCATGGGAAACCTTGGTAATACGCCAAAGACCCATTGACTTCCATCAGATTCATAAAACTGTAAGTCTCTGACACACCAACTCAACTGCAGAATCAAATAGTTTGCATTGGATAGCCTAATATGTCTTTTAGATGAACTTCAATAGCTTCTGAATTTGTCGCTCACAGATTACAAGAAAGTTTACAGAATTCAACATTATTTTGATCGCATACTAGAGTGATCAGGTATAGAAAAAAAGGAATAAACAATGCCATGAAAATGTAAAAAGATGAGAGTAGATCAACCAAAAGCACTTTTGAAAAGTAAATTTTCTCTCAATATTTATGCAAAACTAATTTAGTGTGAACTAGGAAATACTATGGAATGACTATCACATTATTTTTGCTGCTCTACTCTTCTACTACTAGGAACCTAGAAGAAATATTGTGCGACTCCCAAATTGTCCTAATGCTAAAGGTCTTGCTCATGTGGCAGGCTAGATGAAAGCCCAAGTCCAGATCTTGCTTCCAAAATGTGACAGACATTTCTAGAGATACTGAACCAGGCAGCTCATGGGCCCCAAAGCTCACAGAGCTTCAAAATTCCTTCAATAAAAGACTACAAGTAAATCTTTGGAAGTCAGAATTCCACTTACTGTATTATCCAGACTGCCTCAGATACTTGGACTTCATATCCCACCTTAAATGTCACACTATGCACTATTCCTAGCTTGTATGTTACTTGCTTGCAATCATGGGCTCTGCAGAACTACTTATATACCCTGTGCTGACAATATCATAAAAAGATACTCAAAAATATGTGAGAAATTTCTAAGATTTTACATTGCTATAATGATGATATATTAATGAACAATATCTGAGCACAATTTTAGAGTATCTGGGTAGAATCCAGAAGCGATAAAGTTGCATAGGCTGGATATTCAGAAGGGTGTAAGGAAGGCGTTCAAGATGAGGATTAACACAAGCAGATGTCTCTAGAGGAACTAGTTTCCCAACTAACCTAATCAACATAATCAGTTTAAGTGGTTATCTACAGATATCTATATCAGAAGGCTGAATAGGTCCCCAGTTCTCACAGAGCTGCATTCCACTGACTCTAACAGAGCTTATAAATGTATGTGCTTAGATATGTATCTTACATACATGGACACCCCTAGGTTTAGGGGGTATAATTTGCAAATTGAATCCATCCTCTAAATGACTATGAGTTTTACAGCCTTAAATTACTTTTTTTCTTTTCTTTTGAAATTCCTCCATCTTAGTAAGTGGGTTAGATGTAGATTAAAAAGAAATGCAAATTATGTTAAGACAGGTAACATGACTGAAATTGATTACACTAATGATTGCAAATGAGGCTGGGGCTGAATTTTAATATTAAAATGCCTCTTACAGTCTGCATCTGATCCACCTCTCCATTCTCACTACTTGGTGTATATTTTACATCGGTTTGCATTCCTTTGCAGTCATTACTGATGGGTAACTTCTACTAGAATAAATATAATTTCTGATGAGGCTAAACTAGACCGCTGCAAAACAAATCTCTTAGCAGAATTTGTAGTGGACAATTGGATTGCCTGTGAGACAACAAATTAAAAGGTGCAGGTACTAACCAGTGGAAAATGTTGGAACTCTAAATGCCCACTCAGTTCCACCGAAGGTCACACGAAGGTGCATTCGTGAGTCTTCCCGAAGATCCCACACCAGCAACGAACCATCTGTTGTTCCAGCAAACACTAAGGTTGTTTTACTGGGACTAATGCAACAACTTAGTACCTGTTAAGCCAGGAAAAATTGATACCATTAAAATTAAGAAATAAAACGGTAACTTGAAGTATTTTTGTTCTTCCTTGTGATACAAATTCAGAAAAACTTGAAACAGAATCTGGCTACAGAAGGACAACTTATGTAAAATGGAAGTAGGACAGAAAATTTCCAGTAGGTCCTCGCTCTCTTTCCAAAACAATTGTTATAACCCTGTCTGCTTTGCAGCAGTAGATAATTTAACTGCATGGTAAAAGCTTTAGGTGGAAATGGGTCCTGACAACCTTTAGTCCAGCATGATCATCAAAAAGATCTATTACCAAAGCAAAAAGTGGATGAGGGCAGGTTTTCCTCGCTCACATAAATGTCAAACAATTTTTTTTTTTTTAATATGACACCACTTGCTGCAAGACAGAAAACCAAAATATATATAATCAAGTCATTTATTCAATAGGCAAAGACACAATGTTATTAAACCATACCTCCGAGTCACATATTAAAACTTTCTGAGGACTGGACGGCTGCCAGACATTCCAGACACAAATGATGCTCTTTCTGTCCAGCAGGGTAGCACCTGCCTTCTCAGGTAATCCATGAGCAGAAAGTAGCATCTGCCTCTGAACTTGAGACACATACAGACAGGATATTTTGCGGTCTAAATCACACATAACAATAAAAAAAAAAAAATAAAAAAAAAAAAGGAAAGTTCACTGTAGTTGAAAAAGACTAATAAGCTGCTACAGCAATAATCAAAGAAGTTAAAAGGTAACTAAGAAGGAAATATCTAATAACAGTGGATTGCTTTTGATGCTATTTCGGAAAAGAGGAGAGACTGGACAAGGAGTACAAAAAACTGAAAGGATGTAGGGGGTAAAAAGGAACAGAGCTCAAAAGTTATCAGGAATCTGGACATAAGCAAGCCAATCAGAGTTTGATCTGATATAAACATATTCACTAAAAATTAAGTCTCTAAAAGGAAAGCAAGGCCAGTCTATAGAATCAATGCATACATTCTTCTGCTTCATTATATATGTTCATGCTAGAAAAAGCATGTTTATCATATTGTGATAGGTCTTCTCACCTGTAACCATAGGCATTTTGTTTTTCTTTTCATTTGAACTTTTACTGTTTGCAAGGGGAAGATATAGTTCAAATATATCAGACTACATTCTCCCAGAACAGTAAACCTGCTTTATTTTTACATTGGAACTTACAGCCAGGAAAAGGAGCCTAAATGAAATATTATTCCTTGGGAAGAGCCTTCATCAACAGATCAAGAAAACAGGCCCAGGACATCCCTGTATCATGGCAATCACCCCAAAGCAACGACGCTGTGATGTGCCCCGTGTGAAACCCATCCACACAGAGCTACAGCAAGACTAGAGGAATAAAAGGCAGTAACCTTTACATTGCCTTTGTATCCTGAAATGTGCTGCTTGCAATTCAGCCACAATAAAGAGCCTGGCACTTTGCATAAAAGGAAGAAGAACTCACACTGTATGCTAAAAGGTGTATAACAAAGTTCCCTTACCATGAAGGAATGGCTGGTTAGTATTTAACTGGAAACAGCTGTCACTAATAGACAGACTGGTTTGTCGAGATCTTAGTTTCCACCTGGGTTGTGTTGCAACTCGATCCTCCTCTAGCAAAACAGCAATCACCTTTCAAACATAATTATATTTACAGAAATCAAAGGGTCATCTTATCTTTCAGTTTTGTTATTTGTAGCTTGCAAAAGCACATGAATGAATTCAATAAAATTGTATCAACTCTTGCTAATTTTATATCTTTGCAAGTAGGGCTTAATACTGCTGTAAATAATAATAATAGTAACTAATACCCTCTTTTGCAGAGAGATGAATCTCATTGATAATGCGTATTATTTAAGTCATGTAAATTAGTCAGAGCAAGTACTGCAAGTGATCTATCACACTGTATACTTATGCATACAGCTCCCAAAGGATATTAAGTACATAAGTGTACCTGGCAGGCAGACCGGAGAAAATTTGCTAGTCTTTGTGAATCAATTTTAGGTGTTTGAATACTATTCACTGGCATCTCCTGGCTCTTTATAGGACCTAGTGAAAACAAAAAACAAAACTAAATTTGAGGCTTCAAAAAAGAATCAAGTTAATGCAGGTGTATGTTGCAGCTAACAGCCTGCAAGAGTAATATAATTTTTAAGTAGAATAACGACAAATGAACTTTTCTTCAGCAGTCACAATGATACTCCAAAACAGGATCTGTTGGTCACAGTGATACTTCAAAACAAAAATCCCATCTCCTTCCAAGAGAAACAGCATTCCAGAGGACAGAATTCTTTATCTGCCCATTCATCGGGGGATGGGATCAAATCAGAGGATTCAGAGTGCCTGCAGCACGTTGCTGGCACACTGGCACAATTTCTCCCACTTCGAATCTCGACAATAAGAGGGTTCAAAGAGAAAGTCTATGTGCAGATAACCAAACATGACTATGATTAAATTGTTCTTCACCTCCAGACACAATGGCACTTTCTCCTGGATGCTGTGTCCATTTCTCTAGTGTCTCAACTTCCTCAGTCTGAATGTCTCTCTCAATATTATCCTCATTATACTGAACATAAGCCTAAAATAGGAAGATAACATATGGTTAAGGCAGCAAAGAATGACCGAACATAATTTAATAGGACTTAAATATTAAATAATTTATTGATGAGGTCAACCTCTTCTGTTTGTGAATTCACATACAAAGGTGTACACAAAAGGTGTAGGCATTTTGGACACTTAGAGTTAACTAGATTTTGTCCAGAAGTGCTACACATTTTGCAAAAATACAGACAATCTGTTATTGTGCACAACTGCTAAGCCCAGCACTTCTGGGAGAGAGCCACAAAGTTACAGAGAGTCCATTACAAAATAGGGAAGGAACAAAAGAGACAGCTCTTCTCTAGCTGAGGAAGAGGAATATGGTGTGTTTGGCCAAAGAGATGTGATGTGATATATTGCTTTATGGTTATTAAGGATGAGAGAGAAAAAAAAATATCACTTTACTGTCCTATTAATCTCTGTAACTTCCATTTGTAAGGAAAAGTATTTTCCAGAATAAGAATTAGCACTTTGACCATTTAAATATTATTGGAAATTGCTACCTACCTGTTTTGTGTTCATTCTACCAAAATTCCTTATATACATGTCATATTCATTTACAGGAGGCAAGTCCAGTAATGTAAAACTAACTGAAAAGTCCAGATCAATCAGTTGCAGTAGTTCCGAACTCCGTTTTCTTTAAAAAGCATTAGAAAAGAGAAGTACAAAAAAGTTAACACCAAAGATATAGTATTCTAAAAGAAAAACAACCTAGTATTGCACAGAACTACAAATTTAACAGTATGTTGACTCATATAGACTGTAACTGCACCAAAATTAAATCACAGATAAATATACATTGGTAGAAATATAACAGTGCTCAGTTCTCATTTAATATGACAGAGATAATAAACCATATAATTCTCCTTTTCAAATACAATCCTTATATAGACAAACCCAAACTTTCAGAAGCCTGGGAACACCTTGCCAAACTACTCAGAAGCTGTCCCATGAGATAACAGCTGAACATTAAATTCTTCCTGCAATTAAGATGATGGCTAGTACTCCTGAATACATTTTATTATATAAGTTACCTCAACTGTGAGTGTACTATACTTTACAAGGACAAACTATAACAGGCTTGGTTTTGTTAGACTTATTCCAATCTGTTTTGAGTGACCTCCTAAGTTACTTTCATTGGTAATAAACTGCCTTTAATCTGCACATCTTTAGATGCAACAGGAAAACAAATCAAAATAACAGTACTGCTAAAAGATATTTTAAGCATATACATGAAATTAGTTTCTTTGCTCACATAGTCTTGTTTGTTAGAAAAAAAGAGTTGAGGTTGGCAAAAATTAAAAGTAATGAGGTAAAGTTAGATCACAGAAGCCATAAATAAGACAGGTAAGTTAATTTCTGTCATTCCAGAAATAGAAAGATTTGGCAGGTAACAGAAAAAAAAAAGAGTTTCATGTATCTCAAAGTATTTGATGTGACCATCTTGTTTTAAACAAAATAAAAATGTAACTGGAAAAAATACACATCTGTCCTAAGAACTCGTTTTCATTCAGTGTAGCTTGGGTCCACTAGACCAGTAGCCAGAGTCTTTTGGACCTACCATTTGGGGAAGAGAACGCTGTCCATATCCATAGAGATCTAATGCAAACTCACAGAAGTTGCTTCCTAGCTACAAGAGCAAAATTCCTAGCTTACCGAGACATTCTGACAAATTCTTAAATTAAACTAATTAGCCTCAGTATTAATAATAATAGGGGATTCCAAAGTGTCACTATTCACTTACAGAATGCTCTCAGTTTGTCTACTGACAGCAACATATTATTACAGCCTTAAATTCATCAAACTTCTTTTTCTATGAAAATGCTAGTTATTTTGACAGACTTACATAGACAGAATATAAAGTTATATGTACTTATCTATTCACTCTGTATACACTTGCATGAAAGTTATTTGAACTATATCTGATGGCTGGATTCCTTTGACTGGCCTTTAGTTTCCTAAAGCTCTATGATAAGCAGAGTGGCAAGCATTTTAGAAGCTAGTTCTTCAGAGAGATGCCTTCCCGAACTTCTTCCTCTCTACACTTTCTAGAGAGATGAACTCACATAAAATTTAGGTATATAAATTGAGGCAAGAGCAATTACATAGTCCAGTCAATAAAAGCTCTTCTGTGTGAGGCCTATTCACTAATGTATGTACAAAGCAATGAAATCTTGTCTTATCAGTAAGATAAGTCTTATCTTGCTTTGTGTAAGATTGATGCAACTCCAACTGATGTAACTGAAAATTGGAGATATATAATATTAAGACTCACATAAACTACCTAAAGCTGCAGCTCCTGGTAAATTCTACAAGACACAGGCACCAATTTGATTCTTTAACATGAAGCTTTCTTAGATGTCTCAATTTTAGCTCAGTTTTAGATCAGTAATAACATGTTTTTATACCAACTGTTGATATTCCCAAAATAGCATATTCCATTTTGGCAATGTACCAAATGTACCATTTGGAATGTACCTTATAGAGCCTTGATTATTTCAAGAAATTACGGTTGTGCAGAGCTCTAAGTGTAACTAAAAGGCTTGCTAGAAGTCAACGTCTAATTAAGTGACTGAAGGATCATATAGAGACATGACCAGGCAGGGAACTCTGTAATAAATTGTTACAGATAAACTCATATACAGACACATTTCTTTTATAAAAACTTAAAAGCTGCAACTTTATATATTTCACATATCTCAAATATCATGAGAAGGAATCTTACAAGATGAGTTGCTATTTTGTGTATGTAATTTAAAAGACACTTACTTTTGCTTACTAGCCATGCTTTGGCTAATTTGTCGTTGATTTGCCATTCCAAAATCCATGAATATTCCACAAAAAAAGCTTCTGGCAGAAGAATATTGTGTTTCTATGATATTATAAAATGTTGTATTATAATTCACACTTTATACTACATTAAAATGTAAAGCAGCAAGTATAAAAAGCAACAGATTCATTACCACATGGCTACTAAATGTTACTAGCCTACATGCTTTGTAACTTCTAGCACAAGACCCATGCAAGAAGCTTCTTAACTTTACTAATAGAATCACAGAATTAAGGTTGGAAAGGACCTTTAGAGATCATCTAGTCCAACCCCTCTGCACACACAGGGTCACCTAGAACATGGGGCACAGGGCTGCGTCCAAGCGGGTTTGGAAGCTCTCCAGAGGAGGAGACTCCACAGCCTCTCTTGGCAGCCTGTTCCAGTGGCCAAGCTTCTTCTCTTACTCTGCTCCTGTATTAGTCAATTAGATAAGAATGACCTCTACAATTTTTCGTTAGAAGGCTTTGATCCAATTTCTTCCTCCTTAAAACTGTCAGCCCTCTTTTTCTTCTGCCATTAGGAGGTCTCTGCTTTCCCTGTACGCAGCACTTCACAGGCAATTTAAAGTAAGATCAAATTCACCCAGTCTAATAGCTGCTGGTGCACGCTACACCTCTACGCAGGAGCTGGTCACTACAGCTGCTGGAGAACCTTATCAACAGAAGCAAAGGTAACAGCCTTGCATGAACATGCAAACCAGAAATTGTTGCTTTAAAAGCAATACTTTGTGGGCTGACTACAATATCCAATGTCATCCTGATTTTGCACTCTGCCCTGACTTGGCTGTAACCAACTGACTTTAGGAGCTATTTCCCTGACAGAACTGATGGTGTTTTACTTCCTCAGAGGAAGACTGTCTTAAGGTAATACTTCTACTTTGAAGCTTGTAAAATTATTACAAGAATGGTCAATAACTACTTTAAACAAAATGAAAACAACTTTGTTAACAAGATGGTTGGGTAATTTACAATAAATAAATAGTACTCTAATTCATAATTTTAATACCTGCTTTTATATTAGAATTCTGTATCATTCATTAGATGGATATTGTTTATTGGACTCTAGTATTGATTCTGTATTGTCTATTAGAAAAATAAAACAAGAAATGCGTATATTTTCTGAAAGAAAAAAAAAAGTACTACAATATATTGGCTTTTAAACAAAAGCACTTAAAAGTTCTTCTATCCTTACTTGTAAGACAAACTTCAATAATAATGCATATCAAAGGTCAAAAAGAGTCTATTCAGTACAGTGTAACAACCTGAAAGCTGTAAGTCAAGTGAAACTCCAAAGATGCTGCAACCACAGCTCTACTAGAAATCCTATGGTTGCTGTAAAGACTTGCAGGAAAAAAAAAATGTTTTTCCAGAACTCTACACTAGTGTAGAGTAAAAAGCTGTATTAAATTCTATTGCACAGTGTCCTGTATTATCATTCACCTGAGTGGATTGTGCAAATCAGAGTGCTGCAGTCAGTTAAACACACAGATCTGAGAAACACAGAAGTCACAGCAAATAAATATAAAACCGCAATTTTACAGTCACTTTTTGGGGAAAAAGAAAAAAAGTAACATAATACTTTAAAATTAAACACAGAACTTCAAATTTAAATAGTATCTATACCTTCTCACCTTCTTGACCTGAGCTGTGGTTTCAATCCTACTTGAAGGAAAAAGGCCAACACTTCTCACAGGGACACCCAAACTGTTCTAGTACTCCTCTATCTTTCAAAATCCAGATTCCCCCACCTTCCTCTTACCCAAAATATTAAATGTTAATCTGTAAATTTTTATACTTCACATTTTAAAGGATTAGTAATGTCTCTGAATCATTCTTTAGCTATGTGAAAGTTACAGTACTTACCCACAACCTAAAGTGACTCATTCAGAGTACCAGATTTTTGCCTTAAGGCAGACTTTTAGAAAAAGTAGCCTGTTTATTCCCGAGTTTATGTGTTACTCATACATTTCATAGAAAAGGCCAGTGCCTAGTCACATACCCATGATTGGTTGTTTGTCTTCATTTTTCATTTCCTTTGGTGGTGAAGTAAAAATTTTATCATTTTCTGCATTAATTGCTTTTTGAATTTCTGCAATTTCTGATGTTTTGGAATCAAAAATCTCTCTTACTTTTTCTTTTTCAACTATTTCTTCACTACTATTGTCATCTTCATCATTATCATCAAAATCATCCTCATAATCCTTTAAAGAGAGAAGACTTTTAATAAGTAATAAACATGAATTACGTAGCTTTTATTTTTTCAACATGTTTTAAAGACATTATGAAATTAATTTCCCATAAAAATAAAATTCTTGCACAGATGGCTACTACTCCCCTGACTGAAAAGCTTTTAAAATAACTATTTGATATAAAGGGGGAAAAAAAAACTGTTACAAATTTAATCAAGAAAAGACAATCCCACAGTGTTTTTTCCCCCACTATCTCCCAAAAATCCATTAAAAAAATATCCTAAAGTAGGATTTATAAAGAGAGGAAATTATGATGGCTTGTAACATACATGTGTCAGACATATAAAAATATTTATCTACTAGTTTGGAGTTAAGCTGCCTTTTTACTGCAGACACAAATTTATCTAGATTCCAAACCATCTGTTTGTAAATCCATGGTTATGGACGTGTTGTGATAATTCCTTGAAGCATAGCTTGGACATCGCATCTCGTGCTAGAGGAGAAATCTAATACAAGTGATATGAGCAAGCCTTAAAAGTGCTTCTCTCCCCTGAGCCCAAAGGGATACTAGCTCTGCTGTGAACACTGCACCTAAGGTAAGTGGAAATGAAATCTACCTCAGCTGAAAAAAAGGTCACAATGTGATTAGTTTGGGTAGGAATGAAAGTACATTCAGTTCCTGGCCATTCAGCTGTACACAAAATGCTAGGCCAATTATCAAAATACATTAAAAAAAACATGTAGCATCCTGTGTGTTTTATTTCAGTGAATACAACTGAAATTATTTCCAAAAGGCAATGTTTTGCTTATACTTACTTCAAAATCATCTTCATAATTTGTTGAAAAGTTATCAAACCCTGTATCTGAACTATAGCTGGGGGGATCTTTTATTTCCTAAGAGAGTAAAACAGATTAAGCCACTATATAATCTCATCAAAAATTAAATATTTATCTTCCGCATTTTAAATAATATATGCATGAATTTCAAACAACTCTATTTCTCAGAAATATGCAAAAATAGTTTAGAATATAAGTAGATAAACATACTCCATTAAAAAGTATCAATTATCTATATGAAAGGATAATGTAAGAACACAAAATAAAACTTTTTGTGGGAACACTAACTGCCTTTCCAAGAGTATTTTCATTGGAAAAAAAATACTAAAAAAATGCTGTTCCTACAGTTTCAACAGCACACAGCCATTTTTACAATGTGATAACAAGAACTGTTCTACTTTTTAGAGGATGAAGACTTTTAGGGGATAGAGAAAGAACAGTCTGAACATATGAGTTGATCCAGGATGACTGTTCAGCACAGTGGCAAGAGCTGTGCAGATCAAATCTAAGAATATGCTGAAAAGCTATTTTTTCCAGATACAGAAGTATTTATGTCATGCATTACACAAGACACTGATGACGATTCACATTCAAGACTGCATTTGACACTGGCAACATATGCCTGAGAAAAACTAAAGGAAATTGAAACAAAGGGTCAGCTGCTAGAATGAGGAAAGGAATGAAGAATCTGACTTGAACAGCTCAACAAAACTAAGTGAAGAGCAGTTACACATGCTTTCTGCAAGCTCACTGGGGAGAAAAAAGAAACCCTAAACGATTATTTGAGCTAAAATGCAGTATGAAAGCAAGATTAATGAAGACATCTTGGAAATCAGAAGAAGGTTTCTAATAGAAGTTTATATGGTTTTGAGAGATGTATAGCTGCACATAGCAAAAGCATATTGAAAAAGGTATCTTTAGTGGGCAGTTGATCGGAATCTACTTTCTTCCAGATCAAGCCCTATCCTATAATATTCCTATAATATTCCAAAATATAATTTGGATTTGGGGAAATGGTTACAAATTGTTCAAAATAAGGTAAAAATATGTTAAAGCATTTCATGGTAAAGTTGGGTTGTATCTGCACAAACTGGCCCAGACCAACACAGGCCAATACACTCAGTAGTACAGACTGAAGTGTGCCGAGAATGTGCGTCTGTTGGTATCTGTCCATTTAAACATATAAAAATGCCCTTCTCTTTCTTATGGCTTTAAGCAGCATATATGAATTATATAACTAGGCACATTTTACTTAGCTTATACTACAATTTATTTGCCTGACAGCTGTTTACAGAAAGAAATGATATACTGTAAATAAATGTAGATGATTTGCTACCTATAAGCCTAAACTCTTCACACTTACTGATTTTTTTTTAAGTGAAGATGATACTGAAATAGTTGAGTTTATTACATGGTTAGCAAATTTATAAACAATACATTATAATACCCAAAACTAAGTAGTTTTACCGCTTGTCTTCTGTCCTCTTTTTCCTTTCCAATGTTTTTTCCTTTATCTTTTACATTCCTATGGAGAAAATATAACATATTTTTTATTGAAGGAAGTACTGTGTTTAGGGGGAAATAAAAAAGCTATTTTTGCCTGAAAATGAAAGAAAGAGTAGAAATCAAGCAAATCAGCAAAGTGATTAATAAGCTGAGAATTACAGATTCTCAATATAATACCCATCCCACATAAAATCTGAAGAAGAAATTAGGGATAATAACAAGTACCAATTCCACACATTTTCTAGTTTTAGTAATATCTACAGCCAAGCAAAGACTGAGATTGGGTTGGTGTACTGGGCTCTAAAGCTGTACATGATAGACTGACTTTCATTTCTGGTTCTTCCTTCATGGATTTAACTCATGAGGACAGTACAACCAAGCTCAGAGAGAGTGGGAGAAAACCAAAAGACAGCTCTCTTCCCTAACAACTTATTTCATTTCTTAAGCAGAGAATAAGACTTCAAGAAAAGAAAGTTCTGACTTCATAAGCAAGAAAGTGTTCATATATACTGCTGAGAGAATAGACAATACAAGTAAGGAACAACATAAGTAAAATTTGACTGATTCCTCACGTACCAGATCAAAATAATTCAACATTAATGACAACCTGAGTCTGAAATAAGGTTTGGGGGCTCACAAATCTGATTATGGATGGTCAAATATTATTGCTAAGTGATTTGGTGCCAAGTTTTCTTTATTAACAGTTATTGTGCAACATATGTTTATTTTAAAGGTATGAATGTACCTTATGTGCTGATGGCTTGTTTCCCTTTCTTCCTGTTGACTCCTCTCCTGTTTTTTGTATTCCCTACTCTGCAAAAGAAGTCACAGCATTCCTATATCGAAAATACTAAGAAAAACTTCTGTCTATTAATTAACATTAGAATAATCTCCTACCAAAACAGCTATGATAGGCAAAGAAGGTAAACACCAGTAACAGACATGTAACATGTAACGTGAGCTAGTCCTGAAAATATTAAGTACTTGTGAGTGAAGACTGGCTATGCCCCTTCTACACTGCATTTCTGATAGGAAAGAAAGAGAAATAATCTTGTATCTTTTCCTCTATTTAACCCTTATAATGCTTAAGAACCAGAGGGAAATCTGTCTTTATTGTAAAATAAAGTCAGATTAGTGATACACAAGTAACAATTCTCAGTCTTTTGAAATCAGTTGCAGGAAGTAACATCTCTATGGACTTCTAGCTTAACCTCCACTTCAGAATCTAAGTAAAAATTTCAAAATCATGGCATAAAGAACTTAGTGAAAAAGATGTTTCTAACACATAGACAAGTTTCTAATTAAAATATCAAGGGTGGAATCAGCTCTGGGTTACAATACTAAAATGCAGTTGTAATATTTTTAGTCTGAAATTAAAATTAAAATATACAATCCTGGTATTTTAATTGTCTAACTGGTTAATGTATGGATAAACATTAGCAGTCACAGTAAGTTATAAGTTGTTACTTTTAAGTCTTAGGAGAACTAACCCCAAGATCATACTTCTTTCTTTCACTTTCTTCACTTCTTACTTTTTCATTCGTTTCTGGGGGTCGCCTTTCCCTGTCTCCACGAGAAGATCCCTCTTTAGATCTCTTCGATTTACGTTTTTCATCTTCATTTTCAAACAGTTTATGACTTCTCTCTTTTAAGAGACTCTCTTTTTCTCGCCTAAGAGAATGTTCTTTTTTTCCTCTGTGTCTCTTTCCTGTCTCTTTATCTGTCTCTTCGTCTTTCTGTAACTTGTGACCATGTCCACTCCCTTCAACTTTGTATACTAAATATTTGTCAGTCCTAATTTCGCTATCATCACCCTGAAGGGGAAAAGAAAGAGAGAGAGAGAGAGAGAGAGAGAGAGAGAGAGAGAGAGAGAGAGAGAGAGAGAGAGAGAGAGAGAGAGAGAGAGAGAGAGAGAGAGAGAGATTGATTTATTAAGTTCTACAAATCCATTTTATCTTGAAAATTCACCATTCTAATGGTCAAAAAATTGATAGGTAGTTTAGGCTCCTAAAGTATTTACCAGCACAGATCTTCCAATTCTTAATCAGATATAATGGCTCAGCATTTTTCAAATTAATGTAACACTTGGGATTATGCGATACATGTCTGGGACACTCCATACTGTACTACAGGAAATTCTTTGATTTTGGTATTCTTTAAGTAAATTTAATTATTTGCTAGGTACTCTATCACAAAACAGGATGCATACTTACAATTACCTTTCTAATCAAGACATTTGCTGTACAAAGCGGTACAAAAATGAGACAATCTTGAATGAACAAGAATGAACTATCTGCTTGAGATAGGACAATAGAACGGTTCCATTACATCTTGCTGTTGTGTGTTCCACACACAGGTAAGAACTTTAGTCTAAGCATATTTTGGATTACTTGGGAACTGAAGTCTCATTGAATTTCTCCATTATTTTACCATTTTAATTTTTCTTTATGAGCCATTTAATTCCTTTTGCTTCTCTTACCTTCCTTCCTATATGTCTTCTTTCTTGACCGTCACCTCTTGTTCTCTCTTCTTCTACAGAATATATGTATAAATTAATAAACAGCTTGTATTACAAACTCTGTACATAACCAACAAGCATGTAGAAAATAATATTTAGTGACACAGACTTTCTTTCATAAGAATTCTGTCTTAAACCTCATTCAATAATAATAATAAAAATGATAAATAATAATATATTTATGATTATACAATTTATCATTTTTTTACGGTCTGGATTTACTGAAAAGTATTAATAAAATATTCTAAGATTCAGTTGAAATAAACTTCCAAAATTGATTTTTCCTGGTTTTTGCCTGAATGATCTCTGCTCTTCATTGCTTTAAGAGTAGTAATACATGCTATTAACTTCAACAATCACCCTGCAACTTTGTGTTTCAAACAGATCCCTCAGCAGAAAATGTCTAGGTAGGAAGATGATCATTTCAGAATATTTCAGAATATTTCAGAATATTTAAGGTTGGAAGGGACCTCTACAGATCATCTAGTCCAACCTTCCTGCTCAAGCAGGCACACCTACAGCATGTGGCACAGGGTGGCATCCAGGCGGGTTTTGAAGACCTCCAGAGTAGGAGACTCCACAACCTCCCTGGGCAGCCTGTTCCACTGCTCTGTTACCCTAACAGTAAAGAAGTTGCTCCTCACCTGGAGACGGAACTTCTTATGCTTCAGTTTGTGGCCATTACCCCTCGTCCTATCCCTCGCCACCAGTGAGAACAGCCTGTCCCCTTCCTCCCTGCATTCTCCCTTCCTGAACTTATACATATTAATCATATCCCCTCTGAGCCGTCTCTTCTCCAGAGAAAAAAGGCCCAGCTCGCTCAGCCTCTCTTCATACGAGAGATGTTCCATTCCCTTAATCATCCTGGTTGCCCTTCTCTGGACCCTCTCCAGAAGCTCCACGTCCCTCCTATACTGGGGTGCCCAGAACTGAACACAGTACTCCAGGTGCGAAAGAGAAAAGTTTGTTTGAAGAGAAAAGAATTAATAAAAACTGCAAATGTCACTGCCTCTTTAGGGGAAAAAAAAAGCATCAAAATATCATAAAAGCACTAAAATAAAACTAGATTACCATGAGATTCTCCAAAGACACATGTTTCAGCATATACTCAAACTCACTTGTCTTTGTATCCTCTGTATAAGTGGGATATCGTTTCAGAATATTTCTGTCTAAACATCATAGGAATTATTTCTAAGCATAAAATCAATGCAAAACAACTTACCAAAATGATGCCTGCTTTCTCTTCTTCTGTGATGTTCCTTCTCTCTTCCCTCAGATGATTTCAGCTTATTTTGCACATGTATTTGTTTTAGCCCATGACTCCTATGTTTTTTATCTACTTCGCTCTCATTTTTCTGGTCTTTATCTTTTCTTACACTGTACCTTTCCTTCTCTAGACTTGATGCTCGAACTTTATCCTTGTAGCTCTCTCTGTCCCGTTCTCTGTGGTGTTCTTTTCCCCTCTCTCTCATCTTTTCCCTCTCTCTTTCACTAGATTTAAATCTCTCTCTTTCTCTTGTTCTTTCTTTGCTCTTCCCTCTGTCTTTGTGATCATATTTACGAATATCTGTGTCATAAATATCCTTCTCCCTTTGCAGTTTCTTTTCATGGTGCTTTTTGTCTTCATTTGGACTATCTGACTGTGATGTCTGAAGTATAAAAAAAAAATTGATTAGAATTCAGTTATCTATTTTGATAGATTTATAGTAAGAAGAGCTAATAAGTGAGATTAATAAGCTGCATTTTAATGTATTTGAAAAAAAAACAAAGAAATAACTGCAACCATGTGTTATGTTTGTTCTCCTTGAGTTGCCTTTAGAATAGATTAGCTTTTACTTCAAGAAGCAAAAAAGAAGCAGGATACAGCACACAGAAGTTAGGGGGAAAATGGCCTAGCTCCAATCAGGCTGCTACTCTTTCCATTTTGTTTAAGTCATAAGAGATTGCACTTGAACTGTCCTGAAGCAAGAAGCAAAATGTTCACTGATTTCACTACATCCACAAGTTTGGCTATTTGTTTAATGCACAATAAACAAGGTCATTAATAATATTATTATACCCTTTCAGAAAAGGGAATTAAACTTTAGCCATCTGTTTTATCAGATACGAAAGCCCAAACACGTCACTTCTGCTGATGACAAAACTTTCAGGCTTTGATATTATTGCCTTATATTACAAGGAAATAGAAAATATTATTGAAAGAAAGAAAAAAAATCTACAACATTCTTATCCTGCAGCACTGTTGATAAAGCAATGGGCAGCTGGAGAGAACAACTGACAAAATCTAGAAAACAGATGAACAAGTAGGATGCCTGCAAATTATCAAGACAGTAATGAAGACCTGCACAAGACACAGAAAGCAAGCCAGACATAACCAAAAACAACTTTAAAAATATATATAGCATAAAATGAATAATATAGCAATGTTACTGACAAAAGACTGCATGCAAATTTGGCAGACAACATAACTAACCAGGTTAAAGAATATGGCAAGCATGACAGATGATGCTAACAAACATAGTAATGTGTCACATAGGAAATGGAGTAAGTGTAGAAAAATGAGCAATGACTTGGATTTGTGTGGCCTGCAAATCAGGGCCTGTTTTGTGCTGTGTAATCAGCAATACAGTGGTACTTTTCCCATCAGCCTGAGCAAGAAATCAGTATACTACTTTTACTCTGACCTGTGTAGCTAAACTAGGTTGAATGGGACAGTCTGCTAATATATTGGATTAGACAGATTCCAGAACTGTCAGCTGTGGCAAGGAAGTTAACAGCTATATATTAAATGAATATGAATAGTGACAATCTTGGAAGAGTCTGGAGTACTACCAGTCAACCCACTCTGTCTACTATTTCAATAAATTCCATTGTTTTAATATAATTTACTATAAATATTAATAAAAACAAAATATAATTACCTTAAGATGCTTCTTAAGTTCTTCTGATTTCCAAGTGTCTTCTTTAGTTCTTCTCTGGAAGAGAAAAGTCAGAAAGCCAATGAAAAATGAATTTGTAGTGAGAAATAACTCATTTGACAGTTTTTACAAGGAAAGGATCCAGGTATATATGGTAAATACCACTCGATCTTGCTATGTGAACATTAATGTGTTTTCTTACAGCGTTCAAGATCTAACTGCACCTGGAAGAGACCAGAAGCTCAAACTTCTACTGGAATATCCAGCTCTGCTCACACATGGTCAACAGCCCTGAGGCAGCACCCAGGGCAGATGACAGTAGAGCCCTTCAAGGGAAGCTCCAAACTCTCCGGTCCCCCAGTGACAGTCACTCCATGATATTACAGATGGAACAGGTCTCCACTCTCCTGCTCAGCACAGGATCGTAGCAGAGGTCACTTGGGAAAGGACCTACCCATGCCTTGCAGTGCAATCTCCTGCTTTGATCAGATCTCACCTCAAAGCACTGACCTGGGGTTGTTCAGGTGAGTTTTTAGTATCTCTACAGTTCCATGGCCCATTAGGGTAACCCATCCCCGGGCTCCACTGATTTTCCTAGTCAAACAGGCAGTTCAGGAGGTTACGTTCCTTCTATCCCCATTTGCAGAATCATTCACATTACCTGAGACTACTAAAGAATTTTCATGTATTGAATACATTTAACTACTTCAGCAAAGGATAATGGTAATACTCAAAGGAGTAAGACCAGATCATACATATTCTCAAATTTCAGGCTTGATTAAGAGTTACTAAAGATTAACAAAATCATTGCTAATGAATATTTGAAAGATAAGCTGCATTGATAGATAAGCTGCACTGATAGGAAAAATAAACATATGGTGCCCTTTTTGTTCAATTATAATTTGAAAACAGCATTTAAAAAATCAATTTTAGCTTTTTAATTATTCTTTACTGAAAAAGTCTGGTCTTTTCAAACTTAAGTTTTTATAGAAGATTATAATGGACTGATGGATGTTGGAACAAGTTGATTCTAAGTACCAAGAAGCTAAATACAGAATAATAAAAACAAAACAAACAAACAAAAAGTGATCTTTAGGATGGAAGTTTTACTCTCTTCTGATCTTTAAAAGAGGGGAAAAAAGAAGTTCTCCTCTGTAGAACTCTAGGGGAGAAACTAAAAACAAAGATGCTAATTTTCCCAAGCGAAGTTTTGTCTAACATTTTAACAAAGTCTACCCAGCTCCCCCATAGACCTTGTATGGGAGTGTTGAGTGGAAAGGAAGTGTAACGAGGGGCAATAAGCAGACAAGAGAGAAAATTAGACCAACAGAAAAGAGAAACCTTTTACAGTGCTTAAAGAAACTTAGTGTCTTCGAAATCACTGTCTCTCTGTGAATAACTAGGAAATGCCATCAGTCATTACACCACACAAAAAGACAATTTAAAATTATATATTTAAAATTAAACTTAGAAATTACCTCCAACTCAAACAATTCTCAATTCATCAAACAAGAAAGAATAAAAAACATATTTAAACTAAGTAATTACTACTGCTGAGCTGTCAGGCATTCCAAGGTCAGATCATGGCTCTGCAGCAAACTGCTAGATTTTTAAAAACAGATTTTTTGAAGCGATTAATCATCTTCTGCAACCTGAATTTGGTTTAGCAGAGTTTTTTGGATATGCCAGGCTCATCATCATCTAATCCATAGTTAAAAAGCAGGTGGGAGAACTTGAGTTCTGCAAGTTCCAATCTCCTCTAGGACATGAAATCATTTTAACTCAGGCAAAACTTAATTTGCTTAATACCTTCATTAAACTGTTTAATACCGTTAAATATGTATTATTATTTAATACATAATTATGTCTTGAAAATCTTTTACCTCACAAGAGATCACAGAGGGACAAAGCAGTGCTAGTATAATTAAAAAAATGTAATTAAAGGTTGTATACTTGCATTTCTACTGAACTTTAATTCCAATTCAAAAGCAACCATGGCACAGCAAATTAAAATACTAATCAGCATTTTCTCAAACAATTCAAATACTAAAAATCTGAATAAACAAACTGTTACACACTGTGATGACCAGGCCACAGTGTTGGACTAGCCGGGCTCTAGAGGTCCCTTCCAATCTAAGTGATTCTGACAGCTGCACAACAGGCTTCAGCGTGTGGTCTCGACTAACCTACTATATGATATACTTAATCCAACCACTGTATTTGCTGTTCATAGAGATGGCCATAGAGAGTCAATCACAAATAAACTGTGATGTTAAGTTTTGCCCCACAGCAATATTAAAATTTGTGGCAAGTGATCCCATAGTTCTGTTTTTCCTAAGAACACACAAGAATTGATGTTAACACATTGATGTATTTAAGGACAGTTATTTTGCAGCACTATTAAAGTTTTATAGACCAAGACGCGTGCAAAACGCACAACTTTGGGTAAATACAGAAATAAGGGAGAGCTACGGGAGGGGCCCGATGCACCGCAGGGGAATGGGCACCCGGGAGGCGGCCGCGGCAGCGGGGCCTGCACCGGGCCGGGCGGCTCCGCGAGCCTGGGCCGCCCCACCGCGCCCCCGTCGCTCACCTTGTCGCTCTCCATGGCGGGGCGGGGCGGGGGCGGGCGGGCCGCTACGCGCGGGCCCCGCCGGGCGCCATTTCCCGCCGCCGCGGAGCCGAGCGGCGCAGCCGCGTCCGAAGCGCTTAGCAACGGGAGGAAGGGCAGGCAGCCGCTCGCCGAGCGATAGATCAGCGCTAGCTGCGGCTGCGGCGCCGCCCCGGGAAAAGGGGTTACGCGCTGCCGCCGCAGAGGCCCCTGGGAGCGGGCGGTCCGGTCCGGTCCGGTCCGGTCCGGTCCGGTCCCGTCCCGTCCCGTCCCGTCCCGTCCCGTCCCGTCCGGCCCGGTTCGGTGTCTCCGGCTGTGCCGGGATGAGCCCTGTCCTGCTCCGCCCGCGCTCCCCGCGGCGTTCCTGCGCGCGGCCGCGGCCCAGGCGCCTCTGACGCAGTTTTTAATTCCCCCCGATTCACTGCGGGCTTGGCGCAGGCCGAGGGCGCCGCTCCGCCCTGCCCAGGAGCTGCTGGTGCCTTTCTGCTCTGCCAGCCCGGCACGTTTGGTGCCTCTTGGCTTGTTCCCGTAGATACAGAGGTTGGAAGGGACCTCTGGAGATCGTCTAGTCCAACCCCTGGGCTTTTTCTGCTTATCAGTGAAAATAAGTTAATATTTGACTGTATAACAGGGGAACTGAGTTTACTGCTTGTGTTCAGCATAAACGTTTGTAAAAAGCAAAAAGACTGAGAGATAAAAGTAATAGAGAAGTCATTTAGGCATTTGAGAAACAATCTGGTGACAGTTCAACAGGAGTTGCGTTACAACATAAAATACTATAAAAATGTCTCTGTGCTGAACATGAAGTATTTTATGTAGCAGAAAAGCAAATGGAATTGAAGAAAGCAATTCATGAGGATTTTTTTTTTTTTTTTTTTTTGAAGAACCATTAACCATAAGTTACCTTTAAGGGCTTAATGACACCCACTAAACAGAACATCTATGGATACTAAACTATTTATAAAGATTCTTATGAATAATTCAGCTGTCTATGGCAGAGCAATAATAATCCATGGGCATTTTATCCTCCCCAAACAAATAAAAATACATTTATAAGCCATCTTGGATTCATTCGGAGTGCCTTTTAGCCAAGACAGTGACCATGTTTTAAATGCATGGATCTAGAGATCTGCTTAGCAAAGGATACTCAACAGAAATGCTGTTCTCGGTGTGTAATGGCTGAAGGACAGAGACTACCTTCCATCACTCTAATTGAGCTGTGTTTACTTTTAATAACAGTACAAAAATAACTTTTTTTTTTTTTTTTTTTTTTTTTTTTTTTTTTTTTTGGTGTATCTATCTACCATCCTTCTTTTTAGGATATACATGCATATTTCTTTCAGTTTTGGCTATGAAGAGCTTTTTATTCCTCTTAGTAAAGTCTGTACCAGTTTATGATAAGAGAAGAAACTGCAGATGTGAGAGGGCACCTCCAGAGGGTTGGAAAAGCTCTTCAAAGCTTAAAGTTAATGATCAAATTGAAGTTTAAGTGTTGAATGAGACCAGAAGGTGCAGGATTACACCTATGGCATATCAGAACTAAAATTTACGGATCTTTAAATGTTTTTGCCATGTATTAAATCACAGTTTTCCATTCTTATAAAGAAAAGAATGAATAAATCAGTATTGTTACTATTTTTAAAAGAATGGGCTTTACATTGTTATGAATACAGGCAATAAAATGATAAATATTTATTATATCACTAGGTGGCATGAAATAATGCCCTACTGCACTAGCACTTCTCAGAAAGAAAAGGATTTTGTAGACAAAACTACTGGTAGCCCTGGTAGCTTTGGTAAGATTTTAGGTTCTACATTATCTGGCTTCATACACATCTTATTCTTCATCCACTTTTTTTTTTTTTTTTTTTTTTTTTTTTCCTGAAGCACAAGAATAAAAAATAATTTAGCTATTTACATTCTGCAATAATGGGCTGTTTCATGTCTTTGGATGTCCTCCTAATGCAACAAAGCAATTTAGATTTTTCTCTGTCTCTATATGGAATGATGTATCACAGAATTATACTAGTAGAGGATTGGAAAGATGACCCTTCACAGGGGTGACATGGTCACCTCATTCCACACTTTAGAAATGATCATTCTTTTTTAACAAAGAATTTTTTTTTTTAATGTAGGAAGAGACTTGTTAGGGTCTAGGCTTCTCATGTGAAGCAAGTGGATTAAATGTTCCTGTTTAAGATTGTTGGTTTGAAACATTTGGAAGAAATTTAGTTCATTTATTCATTCAATTTCAAAATTTCTAAGGACAAGAAAAGGATTCTATTACTTCGGCTTTTGTATAAAGAATCAATGAAAATTCCCAGAGTGCAGCAGGCCTATGTAGTAGGATATGAAAAGATATCCTACTTAGATATCCAAGTAAGATAAATATAATCAGCTTTGTAGCTGATAAAATTTGCTGGAGGATACTTAAGGGAAATGGAAAGCCAACTATGTGGTGTGAGAATCTCCAAGGGTTCCTGAAGTGCTAAGGAAGATGTCAATCTTAGGCATTAAAAGACAGAAGAATCAAGAAATGTGTAAATTTAACAAATTCAAGAACCTAAAGCAAATTCTTAAACAATTTGTCAGCACCAACTCTAGTTAAGGATGATCACTGATAAGAATGTTCCTAAAAAAAGCTTGCATTTATGATAAATATTGTATCAAATGCTCTAAGAGAGCCCTGACTTTGTATCTTGATTTTAACAAGCCTTTTTTGTTCAGCCTTTATTCCCCATCCAGTTCAGAATCAGAATATTGCCCAAAACTGAATGTTATCTTCAGAAGTTCTAAGAAGTCAGCACTAATCTTTTCACCGGAGCTTTCTCATGAAGTTTGAGATAAATGTTAGCAAATTAATGTTATGAGACTTTGCTTTTGTTTGCCCATTTCATCGTCTCTGTATCACTCTCCTACACTTCTGTTTAACCAAACTCCCGTAGCAACAAATTAATTACTCTGACCAGGATCCAGGCTAGGCTCTCAGGCCTACAATTACATGCTAGTGATGCTAAATGCTAGCACAAGATTCACTTTGTGTGTGTGTTTCTTCTCCTCCTCCACAGGAGAAGATGCAGTGTATGGAATCCTGTATAGTTGTCAATAGCTGATTTTGTTAGTCCTTTTCATGCCATTTTGGTCTTCAGTTTTCCTGTTGGCAGTGACTTAGTGACAGATGAAGGACACACACCAGCAGCGGCCTGAGGTGCCGCCAGGCTCCCTCTGCTCCACGAGCAGCACGGTTCCCAGCAGGGTTGGGAAGGAGACACCACCGAGCACCACCTTCACCCTGGGACAACTGGATTCTTTTTCTGGATCCACTGTGGCAGCAGGCAAACAAGTTTTTCTAATTTGGCGTTTTCTTTCTCATTTCCCCTAGATTATTGAGCTTTCTTTTATTTCCTCTGGAAATGAAATGTGTGAAGCTTCCTTTTTGCCTATTTGTAAGTATTTTCCTAACTTTCCTGGCTGTCAGCTAAACCTGTTCTCCACCCCACCCACCTGCAAACACCAGTCTCTTAAGAGCCTCCAAATTTTGTGAAAATTGGCAACTGAAGAGGCAAAAGCACCTGCTTCACGAGAGACTACAGGTGGCCATTTAGAAACCCAATAAATCAGGGTAACTGCAATCTTCAAGCCGGTTATCACACAGCCGAGGGTGGCAGCAGCAGCAGCAGCAGCTGTCCCTTTCCACATGGCAGCCGCGTTGCAGCTACCACGGCGGCAGGCGCCCGTCAGGAGGGCGCGGAGTGGTGGCAAATGGAGTCCTGTGTGTAACGGCCCGCGGGCCCGTTTAACCGCCGGGCCCGTTTAACCGCCGGGCCCGTTTAACCGCCGGCGCCGCGGGCGGG